TATATATATGTGTGTATATGTACGTATCATATATGTCTCTTTATATTTTATATATATATATGTATATATATATTTATGTACATATATATACATATATATATGTATATATATAGTTAATCTTTATTTTTTTGTATATATATACATATATAAATACAAAGTTGCAATAAAAAATTAGATGAACAGGCATTTATGCTTCGATCCACTAAATCGTATACATTCCGATTCAGTACCAAAAACTGGACCTAGTCAGTATGACAGTTGCGGTGTTGATAAAATAAACAAATAAATAAACTCAAATAAATTCTAAAAAAAAGTGGGCTATAATTTCAAACGATACAAAGAGGATAAATCTAAAGAATGTTTTATTAATAATAACACAATTAATATCTCTATTTTCAAAGTGTTGTAGAAATTTTAAAGATATAAATAGTGAATATCCCTGGCTAGAAGACTGGAAGAGGACGAAGGCCTGAAATCACGTCCATGCGCCAAAATATGCAGTTTGTTTGACGTTGCTGGCCAAACACCGTGGTGGAGAGGAACACAGTCGAATTTTGATAATTAATGAAAACACTGGAAGTGTGCCATTTGGATTACTCATTTTTGTGCGTTTTTGCATACGTGCAAATTGCAAAAACGCATAGTGGCAAGAGGCTGTCTGTGTCTCTCTGTCTGGCTGTCTGTCTGTCTGCCTGTCTGTATGTCTGTGTGTTCGCACTTTTTGTCACCCACTTTCAACTCGAGAACCAGAAAAGCTAGAAGGCTGAAACTTTGGGAGTATGTGCCCATACCATGTCTGACCTTCCCGTTTTAGCAATCATTACCCGTGTGCGTCTGAGTTTTTCAAAGTTGTACAGCAAATTACGTAATTCAGATCTGCATTTAAAAAAATACATAGACACACTGAAAAAATTTGACAAAATTAGTAAAAGGATTTACTTCGAATTGGAGATGCATATGAATCATGCAATTTGAATTGTACTTTGCGAATATATTTTGACGGATCTTCGTTGTAGTAGGGTTTCAGGAACACGGTCCACTCGTGCGTATGGCCATCTTCTTCGCGTTTCTTGGGCAGAAATCGAGCGGTATTGCCGTAGACAACTGCTTTCGTGAATGTCCGATCACTTACTCGTTCCATACAGATAGCTCTATAAATAGTGAAATTCTCGTTTGGATGGTCACTCAGCCAGCAAGAAACGTTTTAGGCGTAATTCCGATTTATCAGGAATTCGGCCAAGGAGCCACCCTGAGCCAATGCAAAACGACAGTGGTCAGTCCTGGGAAAAGTGACCAATAAGTGGACAAAAACAAGCAAAAAAGGAAAATTTGAAAAAAGTCAAAACCCCGTCCATATTCACTGTGAAAGCGAGGGGGAGCAGGAGGAGGAAGGAGGCTGGGAGGAGCGGGGAGGAGAGGGGGGGGGGGACAATACATGAAGAATAAGTGGACAAAAGCAGGTAAAAAAGGGAAAAAAGCCAAAAAGTCATAACCCCACCTGCATTCAC